TGTTGCACTGCATGTGACTGAGGCTTTGTGAATGTTGCACTGCATGTCACTGAGGCTTTGTGAATGTTGCAGTGCATGTCACTGAGGCTTTGTGAATGTTGCACTGCATGTCAGTGAGGCTTTGTGAATGTTGCACTGCATGTCAGTGAAGCTTTGTGAATGTTGCAATGCATGTCAGTGAGGCTTTGTGAATGTTGCACTGCATGTCACTGAGGCTTTGTGAATGTTGCACTGCATGTCAGTGAAGGCTTTGTGAATGTTGAACTGCATATCACTGAGGCTTGTGAATGTTGCACTGCATGTCACTGAGGCTTGTGAATGTTGCACTGCATGTCATCTGAGGCTTTGTGAATGTTGCACTGTATGTCACTGAGGCTTTGTGAATGTTTGCACTGCATGTCACTGAGCTTTGTGAATGTTGCACTGCATGTCAGTGAGGCTTTGTGAATGTTGCACTGCATGTCACTGAGGCTTTGTGAATGTTGCACTGCATGTCAGTGAGGCTTGTGAATGTTGCACTGCATGTCACTGAGGCTTTGTGAATGTTGCACTGCATGTGACTGAGGCTTTGTGAATGTTGCACTGCATGTCACTGAGGCTTTGTGAATGTTGCACTGCATGTCACTGAGGCTTTGTGAATGTTGCACTGCATGTCACTGAGGCTTTGTGAATGTTGCACTGCATGTCACTGAGGCTTTTGGAATGTTGCACTGCATGTCACTGAGGCTTTGTGAATGTTGCACTGCATGTCACTGAGGCTTTGTGAATGTTGCACTGCATGTCAGTGAGGCTTTGAGAATGTTGCACTGCATGTCACTAAGGCTTTGTGAATGTTGCACTGCAAGTCAGTGAGGCTTTGTGAATGTTGCACTGCATGTCACTGAGGCTTTGTGAATGTTGCACTGCATGTCACCGAGGCTTTGTGAATGTTGCACTGCATGTCAGTGAGGCTTTGTGAATGTTGCACTGCATGTCACTGAGGCTTTGTGAATGTTGCACTGCATGTCAGTGAGGCTTTGTGTAAGTTGCACTGCATGTCAGTGAGGCTTTGTGAATGTTGCACTGCATATCAGTGAGGCTTTGTGTAAGTTGCACTGCATGTCACTGAGGCTTTGTGAATGTTGCACTGCATGTCACCGAGGCTTTGTGAATGTTGCACTGCATGTCAGTGAGGCTTTGTGAATGTTGCACTGCATGTCAGTGAGGCTTTGTGAATGTTGCACTGCATGTCAGTGAGGCTTTGTGAATGTTGCACTGCATGTTAGTGAGGCTTTGTGAATTTTGCAATGCATTTCAGTGAGGCTTTGTGAATGTTACTCTGCATGTCAGTGAGGCTTTGTGAATGTTGCACTGCATGTCAGTGAAGCTTTGTGAATGTAGCACTGCATGTCAGTGAGGCTTTGTGAATGTTGCACTGCATGACAGTGAGACTTTGTGAATGTTGCAGTGCATGTCAGTGGGGCCTTGTGAATGTTTCAGTGGATGTCAGTGGGGCCTTGTGAATGTTGCAGTGGATGTCAGTAATACCTTGTGAACGTTGTAATGCAGGTCACTGAGGCCATGTAAATGTTGAAGTGCATATCAGTGTGGCCTTGTGAACATTGCAGTGCATGTTAGTGGGGCCTTGTGAATGTTGCAGTGCATGTCAGTGGGACCTTGTGAATGTTGCAGTGCATTTCAGTGGGGCCTCGAGAATGTTGCAATGCATGTCAGTGAGGCCTTGTGAACGTTGCAGTGCATGTCAGTGAGGACTTGTGAATGCTGCAGTGCATATCAGTGGGGCCTTGCGAACGTTGCAGCACATGTCAGTGGGGCCTTGTGAACGTTGCAGTGCATGTTTGTTAGGCCTTGTGAACGGTGCAGTGCATGTTTGTTAGGCCTTGTGAACGTTGCAGTGCATGTTTGTTAGGCCTTGTGAACGGTGCAGTGCATGTTTGGTTGGCCTTGTGAACGGTGCAGTGCATGTTTGGTAGGCCTTGTGAACGGTGCAGTGCATGTTTGGTAGGCCTTGTGAACGGTGCAGTGCATGTTTGGTAGGCCTTGTGAACGGTGCAGTGCATGTTTGGTAGGCCTTGTGAACGGTGCAGTGCATGTTTGGTAGGCCTTGTGAACGGTGCAGTGCATGTTTGGTAGGCCTTGTGAACGGTGCAGTGCATGTTTGGTAGGCCTTGTGAACGGTGCAGTGCATGTTTGGTAGGCCTTGTGAACGGTGCAGTGCATGTTTGGTAGGCCTTGTGAACGGTGCAGTGCATGTTTGGTAGGCCTTGTGAACGGTGCAGTGCATGTTTGGTAGGCCTTGTGAACGGTGCAGTGCATGTTTGGTAGGCCTTGTGAACGGTGCAGTGCATGTTTGGTAGGCCTTGTGAACGGTGCAGTGCATGTTTGGTAGGCCTTGTGAACGGTGCAGTGCATGTTTGGTAGGCCTTGTGAACGGTGCAGTGCATGTTTGGTAGGCCTTGCGAACGTTGCAGCACATGTCAGTGGGGCCTTGCGAACGTTGCAGCACATGTCAGTGGGGCCTTGTGAACGGTGCAGTGCATGTTTGGTAGGCCTTGTGAACGGTGCAGTGCATGTTTGGTAGGCCTTGCGAACGTTGCAGCACATGTCAGTGGGGCCTTGCGAACGTTGCAGCACATGTCAGTGGGGCCTTGCGAACGTTGCAGCACATGTCAGTGGGGCCTTGCGAACGTTGCAGCACATGTCAGTGGGGCCTTGCGAACGTTGCAGCACATGTCAGTGGGGCCTTGTGAACGGTGCAGTGCATGTTTGGTAGGCCTTGTGAACGGTGCAGTGCATGTTTGGTAGGCCTTGTGAACGGTGCAGTGCCCCTAGATTTGTAAACACTGAATATTAACTCAACGTTTCGATATTCAGTAGCAAATCGAGTAGTCGAACACATCTTTCTCACCCGCCATCCCTCCGTCCACTGTTCCTCGAGTCATCCCTCAGTATACCTAAATGGGTTATTCTAGGTGGCGTGTCTGCCACACACTTAGCGGACGGAGGATCGAGCCTCCAGTTCACTTTGTGCTGAATGAAACACGGAATTAATGCTTCACATAAAGTTTAATAACAACATTCTTTTTTCTAGTCTGTCTTTCTCCAAGTCAGGGGCAAGACATTTTCAATCATTTTTTTGTTTCTCAGTTAAAAGTCTGACGTCATTACAAAGTTTCACAGCGTCTGTTTACGATATCGACTATTGAGTACAATAGTTGAGGTCTGAGTAAACAGTCCGACGAATAAGTATTCCTTCGACGTGTCGTGCATTTGCCACGACAGCTGACCACGTTGTCACGAATATTTTAAACCTCGACAGGAAAAAAATCTGTTTATTTCCTTTATTAAGTTTCAAAGACGTGTGAGTCACTCAGAGCAAGGAATAGAGAAGCCTTGGTCCTCCGTCCAATATTCGCGACTCTGTCTGTGACAGAGTCGCGAATGTTGGACGTGAATATCAACAGTACCTTCAACATCGACAGCTTAGCGGGCGTCGACCTGGATAAGAACTCGGGGTCACAGCTTGAGAAATTGACCTGCGTGTCAGTGGGTAGAGACCCGGGTGTGGTCGCTACCCACTGACACGCACGTCAATGAGCTGCGAATAGTGTGTGTGAACAAAGGGATGGGGATAAAATACTAACCTGCGTGTAAGTGGATGGTGCCCTGTGCATGAACAGAGAGACGGGGAGGAAATACCGAACTGTGTTAGTGGCTGCCAACTTGGGTTCGTGTCTGAGTGAATATACTTCAACCCATTCTGGCTCAACCAGTGACCGACAGTCTTGCAAACTTCAGTGTTTCTAGTTACGGTTAGTCACTGCGTTATTTTCTTATATGTGGTTAAATAGGCGCTTTTATACGATCATGTAACCCAATCTAGCATACACTAACCTAAGCTAACTTATCCTAATCCTCCAAATCATCAATTCACCACGTATTAACAACACTTTGAAGTCATAATCCTTCCCAACAACCACTTTGCCTTGAACGTCTCCAAAGTACTTGCACAAACCAACACTACAGCCGCCATCACAACCAGTACAGCCATCAACGACTTGATCCGGACCAAAGTGAAACACCTTGAACCGGTCATGCAGGTGGTTACACAATCCTTTGCGGTGGCTGACGATGTATACGTCGACGTCAGGTGTTCAACACACCTACATTATTATTATAATTAATAGGAAGTGCTAAACCCGTAGGATTATACAGCGCCTGTGGGGGTGTAAGTGGAAGGTATTCAGGTTTAATTCAGGGAACTGGAGCACAAATACAATTCCCTAGATCAAGAGCTTCTCACCAGAGTCAAGTAACCTTCCTTGAGGGGTCAACACACCTACAGAGAATCTCCTGAGTGACTCCGGCACTCGGGCTGTGGCCTGAGTACCAAGAATGGCTCAAACGGAGCAGAGCTTTTGAGATTCGAACGCCTCATAACAGCGAGAATACCAGCATTGACAACACTTTAACCCAAGACGTGCTGTACCCCAGCTAAAGAGCGTCAATGACGTTTGTAACTAAATCCTACACCACTTGTGCCGAAGAAAACTCACTGTGTCCTTCTCATAGGGCTGTAAGGGGCACACCACTTAACAAGAATGCTCACCGTGCCCCTCCCATAAGGCTGTAAACGGATCACTTGTACAAACTCCGACACTCCTTCAGGAGCCACTGCCGCGTCACCACATGGAGAAGACCCGGGCCAGGACCCGTCCCGGCAGCCCTACCTGAACCTGTACCCTACATTGTTTGTTTTGGTTTGATAAACTTCCTGGAAAGTGAATCGTTGCAACAATAAAAATGTCACATTAGTTGCATCTGTATCCTTTTTACCTAACCTAACGTAGTCTAGACTAACCTAATACAACCTAATCTAACCCAATCTAACTTCACTTACTCTGTTTAAGCTTAGAAAAATAATATATTATAGAAACTTCTGGAAACGTTATGAAAATGGCTCTGTGAATCTTGTAGTAATGTGTAAGTTGTATACTGACCTGCATGACAGTGGACGGCGACCTTGCCCTCAGAGAGAGCGAAAGCCATCACCTTAACCATGTCAAGCAGAGCGCCCTGCGTTGGCTCTCCGTAGTCCCTCATGCCGAAATTGTAGTAGAATACTGCAGGAATGAGAGAGATACTGAGTAAGGCAATGGTCGGCCAATATGTAATCACAGTTACAATAATAAGACCATAGCTGAATTAGCCATGTCCCAGCCATAACCACTTTCTAAGCACAATCAAATTATACACGGTGTTTCACTCGTAGGAGGCTCTTAGTTGGTACTCCCATAGTTGCAACCATCTTGTTTGCATATCTTGCCTGTAGTAAACGATAATTCGGGGCCTCGTACGTATATGAGGCCCCGCGTTATCGTTTACTACAGACATAATATTATAACGAGATTATTTGGTGAGCTCTTGCAGAGCGGGGTTCAATGATAAACGTCTTCGGAGGCTTCTTTACTTTATTTGTAATGTCGTGGTGGGTACACAGGCTTGTGTGTTGTGCCCATGGCCCGGTAGGGCCATGCCCACGAGGGAGAGAGCTAGTAGGCCTTGTGTTTTGCTGCTAGGCCTCTGAGTGAGTGAGCGAGTGGGACCAGCGTCCCACTGACTTGGGCTGGCTAGAGGGCAGCACCTTAGTGTCGCAAAATATGATCTAAGCTGACAGACAGCATAGACTGTCTGTGCAGACAGAACAGGCTGTCTACATATGCTCGGCCACCTTCCTTGCTTCATCCCGACGCGACAATACTGGTGGTAAAAAAAAAACTCGGTCTCTCTCTCGTAGGAACAGGGCACAGAACACAAAATAAAAAACATGTATATACATATCGACATGGAAGAAAAAACTTCCTACAGGGAGGGAAGAAAAAAACATGTTGGGTGTGCTAAACATCGTGGTCAAAGGCAGTGAGCGTCGAAGGGCATCACTGCACGCCTTCCTGTGTCTGGACAGATACTGCAACACAGGAGACATCTCTGCGGCTGAGCTGTGAAGTAACGGGGTACGGTGTCCTCTAGAATGGTGAAGCAGACATCGTAGGAGTCGCTGCAGGTTTTCACTCAACCTGGGGTGCGACATGCTGGTGCCCTCGAGTGAGGCGTCAACAAAACTGGCAACTGGGAAGGACTTCTTCTGGCAAGCGACTCAGGAGGACACTTCTCGACTGGTACTGTCGTTTGGCTGTCACTGCCGGCGAGCGTGGAGCGAGTCGTGGAGCGAGTCGTGGCAGAGACGACTGGGCGAAACATCTGGGAGGCGTAACATCATACACCAGACTGCAGAGAGCGAGCTAGCAGTCAAAGTGACATCATCTTTGTGCAGGCTGCTCACTGAAGCTTGTGACAGGAGGCTGACACAGCGCCTGCCAACAGGGCTAACTGCGGCTTGACGAGTGTCATTCTCTCGGCAGTTGGAGTTATAGCAGAGGTTAGTCTAAGCGTCCCCAGACTTGTTTCTCTACATATAACTGCACTCTGAAGGTCTGGAGGTGAAGTGAAACAAATCTCGATGAGAATCGTAGCAGGTACGATTCTGCAGGACATCACGAGCGACGAGCATAAGAACTTTCTCTACAAAGGGCTCGGTCGCTCGGGGCTGAGTAATATCAGCTGTCAAACACGCTGGTCACACCAGGTGACAACACAGTGATACTCAGCGGTCTGGATGCAGACCACACTGGACACACGAAAAACTTTACACACACCCGCGGTACATGTGGTACAACATGGCTTAAATTAGCAAAAAGATGCTTTTCTGTGCACAAAATTGACACTAAGCTATACACTAACATGTGAGAACACTGACTGAAAGGAATTAATTAACACACAACAATTATCTTCTCTCAATCTTCTCGACAATATTGACATCATTACTGAAACACTCGATGTGACATCATGTGATGTCAGGCGTGACGTCGCGAGGTGACGTCAGTAGCACTGTGATGTCAGCAGACATCTCGAGGTGACGTCAGCAGACGTCTCAAGGTGACATCAGGCAGACATTGTGATGTCATGAAGATGGGCAGCAGCATCGGTGACGTCAATGTGATGCGGGCAGCAGACCACAGCATGTAGCCTGGGACTTCTGGCAACTCACGTGGCTCGTAGGTCCACGTGGTGTGGGATTCACGTTGCGTCGTGATCCACGGAGCATGCTGATCCACATGGCTTGCTGATCCACATGGCTTGCTGATCCACATGGCTTGATGATCCACGTGGCTAGCTGATCCACGTGGCTTGTTGATCCACGTGGCTTCGAGTGGCCTCGGGCACTCAGATGCACAGCTCTGGCAATGAATTCACATGGAAAACAGCAGAAAACACAGCAGAGGGAGTGATGGCATGGTGGTGTATGGTAGGCTGGTGAGGTATGAGTGCATAGCAGGGCGAGCGTGGGCGAGGCAAGGAACGGCCACTTCATCTTCTCTCCACAAACACGTGGAGAAACTCACACTGGACGCAGAAATCACCACAAAACTCACCTCTGGCTTGCTGAAATAGCTGTGCTGAGCTGAACAACAACAGCAGAACATGCAAGTGACGCTGAACACGTGACTTGAGAAACAGCGTGGGACGCTGTAGTGTGGGGTCACTGGGACACCATTTACAATTCTCGAAGAAATTCGGCAAATTTCGGCTGGATCCTGCTTGTACCTGTGTCTGGATGCTGAAACGTGCAGACACGACATCAGGATAAATCGATGAGAGACAGATGCTTCTTGCATGGGGTGATGAAGTGAAGATGACTTCATCCTATTTCCTTCCTCTCTCCGGGCAAACACAACTCCTGCGACCACCGCTTCCCACCATTTATAACGAGATTATTTGGTGAGCTCTTGCAGGGCGGGGTTCAATGATAAACGTCTTCGGAGGCTTCTTTACTTTATTTATAATGTCGTGGTGGGTACACAGGCTTGTGTGTTGTGCCCATGGCACGGTAGGGCCATGCCCACGAGGAAGAGAGCTAGTAGGCCTTGTGTCTTGCTGCTAGGCCTCTGAGTGACCGAGTGGGACCAGCGTCCCACTGACTTTGGGCTGGCTAGAGGGCAGCACCTTAGTGCCGCGAAATATGAACTAAGCTGGCAGACTGCAGAGACTGTCTGTGCAGACAGGACAGGCTGTCTACAATATACAAATAAGACTGGGGCTCTTACGAGTGAAACCTTATATAAACATCACAACCACAACAATCTCACTAGGAAAATCCACATCTACGTCACAATCACGTTGCAATCAAACATCACAAACACGTTATCACTACAACTCATCCACACTATAACCCAACTAAACCTCCATCACACCACACATACTTGAAGTGTAATGGGACTGCTGTGTTATTGTTGCATTACTGTTGTTAGATAAACTAGTAGCTAGTTGGTAAAATGATAGGTGTCCATAAAGAATAAAAAGGCACAATACAGTGATTGGAACAATTTATTGGCTCCCTTCCCTTCCTGCTTCTGTGTAATTAGTTAATGGTCCAAGTCATAAGTTTCATTTTCCTATGTGCTGGATATTTGTGAATTAGAGGTGTGGTTGTGAGCCTTAGGTTTATTTGGGCAATGGGTTCACAGCGAGTTTGGTTGTTGCTAGCCCTATGCCAAAGCCTAGGGAGAGAGTGAGATAAGTGGGAAGTCTGGCTTGTCCTGAATCTGACCAGTGAGTGAGAAGGATCGTTGCAGACGGCAGAGAACAGTCGGTGTGGTGTGGCGTCGTGGTGTGATAAGGCGTCGTGGTGTGGTGAGGCGTCGTGGTGTGGTGAAGCGTCGTGGTGTGGTGAGGCGTCGCGATATGGTGAGGTGTGGTATTGTGAGGCGTCGTGGTGTGGAGACGCGTCGTGGTGTGGGGTGTGGCTTAGAAAACTTCTAAGACCACACAGGACGTCGCAGAGTCACTGACGAGCAGATATTAGCACCAAAAAATAGTTGAATTACGGAGCATTGAGGAGTGAGAATGCGGGTAGTGTGTGCGGGGCCAGGAGCTGCTAGGCTGTGCTTATCACGTGTTTGGTGGGGGCTTTAGCTCACACTCAACAACACATGGGAGCCAATAACACACCGAAACCTCACCTCTGACTTATGTAACTTGTAGAGTCATAGTAGGGGACTATAGATGGTTTAGATGACACAGAGGCTGGTGCAGGAAGATACACGTGCTTTGGCAAGGTGAACCCAAGGCTTAGTCATCTAAGGGCTTGGTCTGTGGCAGTGAGTGGCTTGGAAACTCAGGAAAACCATGCACGTACGTCGCAGATGAATACACATGTTTAGCCAGAAACTCAATGGGAATTCACAGGGACAGCGTAGAGTGAAAGCGGTGTAGGAGGCTGGGCGATCGTGTGGTGCTTCCATACATACTTTTCACACGACGCGAATCAAGGAAGACCAGGAAACGTATGAGAGGCTGAGAGGACCAAGATAAAGCCACGAAGTTTCCTCACGGAAATTAGGTGTGTTTGGGCACAGATCTGGATATACCTGTGTCTTAATGCTGGGGCTTCCAGATACGATTTCATTATAACCAGCTGGGAGTAGGATGATGATAGGATGGGGCAATTAAATGTCGCTCGCTCTCTCTCTCTCTCTCCCCTTCTGTCTTTCCTGGGTGTAAGACCAGCTGATGTGATCACCGCTTTTCCCACTGCATTACATACGTTTTGCTACTGCTACCATAATGTATAGGGTTCTGTGGTAGTTTGGTATTGCGTTGTAATGCATTGGTACAGTAGCGTAGTTTGTGAAATAATAGGCGTGGTTGCGAGATTTAGGTTTTTGGCGAAATGAGTACACAGTGACCTTGTGTGGTGCTAGCCCCATTCCTAGGCCGTAGGCCTAGCGAAAGAGTGAGAGAAGGGGTAAGTCTAGTTTATCCTGTGTCTGGCCAGTTAGTGAGAGCAACTCAGGATACACTGAGCTGAGTTCAGGTGTCAGGCGTCAAGGGGCGAACTACAAAGCTTAACTGGGTTTACATAGATATATTTCGGTGGCTGCGTGATCCGAGGAAGGTATCCCTGTACTCCATAAGTCCAAGCTCCTGTACCTCGATGCACGCGAAAGGAGCACTGGAAGGTGGTCATAAAATTCCATGCAGCAAAAAATATATACCTATATGT